TGCGGCTGCTTCCCACTACCAAATGTAAAATAGATAGCTAGTGGGAAGCAGCCGCATAGCACAGGGAGATCAGCTCAGTGCTCTGTGACCATCTAGAAGTGGGGGATAGGGAGGGTGGGAGGAAGGGAGACGCAAGAGGGAAGAGATATGGGGATATATGTATATGTATAACTGATTCACTTTGTTATAAAGCAGAAACTAATACACCATTGTAAAGCAATTATCCTCCAATAAAGATGTTAAAAAAATAAAAATAAGTACTGAGAGCAAAAAAAAAGAAAAAAAGATCCTGATTTTTCTAATTAGACTGTAAAAGTCACTTATAGACACATTCAAAACAAGGAATAATGGCATTTATTTGAAGACGGGGATGAAGTGTGTGCAGTTAAGTATGTATAACATGAAGCTGGCAGTCTTAGAACCCATCGGTTGAATCACACTATTCTCTTAAAAAGCTTAACCAATTCCCTATTAGCTGAGTCTAGTTCTGCTGTTAAAAAAAGAGTAATAACATCATAATAGCAATGATATGATGTTAACATCTTACGGGAGGGGGAAGTGAGGTATAGACACCAGGATGAACCCACTGGTTCTAAAACCCTATTCTTTCCCTTATAGCACCATCTTTCTACAAATGCAAAAAGCATAGTGGAACTAGTTGTGATCTTTCCCCATATTATTTCAAAAGTGCAAAGAGATGCTCAATCATATCAGAAATTGAAGTATTCAAAGGAAGTTATCTCTCCTTTTATACTTTGATTGAAATTCTGTTTAGCATTGAAGCAGGCTTCTATGATCGAACGTGGTAAATGATAGATAGGGTTCAATAGAGTTCTGTAGTGAAGGGTAAGTATTTTAGTGTGTCTGTGACCTGATCCAAAGGCTATTTCTAGCAGTTTGTCATTTAGTACAGAGAAGGTTAGTGAGGTCATGTTGATATATGATCTTTTATGCTCTGAACTTATCACTGCAGTTGAACTGGCCCTACAATTGTCATTAACAGTGAGCAGTTATCTTTTGATACTAAAGAATAAAATAAAACAACTGCTTTACTTTATTCTCCCAACTAAACTATAAAGAAAAATCAAAGCCTAAAGTTTGAAATATTTAGCTGGAGAAATTTAAGGCATCTTTATTTTTACCCAAGGAAGTAAAAATAGCTTTAGTATTCTCAGAAGAAAACCAAATAAGATCACATGGATGGAATTGCCGGTGAAAAGTGTCTAAATGTTAACATCACCATGATAAATATTTAGTTCCAGTAGAGAATGAGATTACTTTAAAAACTGTTCTAGCACCCTAGCACACATTTCAAAGGGAATAGAATTCTCTAAAGAAAGAAAATGCCAAAGAGACAGGAAAGCACTGTGGGATGGGGAAATAATGGCAACCTAGGAATTAGGACACCTGGGTTCTAGTTTCTGATCTGCCTGTGTATGTGCTAAATGATATGCAGCAAAGACCGTAACCTCTCTTTGTTGTTTCTTGCTTGGATTTCACTAACAACCTATTTGGATGTTTTCAGGTCAGCTGACAGACCTACCAGGCCCCCAAATCCACCTGCCCCACAGACCTTTCTGATTTAGTCAGATTTGTCAGTGGCTCCAACAGCATGAGTATAAAGTTGAAATTTCTTAGCAGGGCATCCAGGTCTTTCAAGGTTGGACACTTGCTCACCTCTCTAGCCCATCTCACTCTACTCCTGCCTCCTTCCCCATCCTCTTACCATGCAGAGCTACTTAAACTACTGCTCTCATATCCAGAACTCCATTCCCCACCATTGACCCAACTAACTCTCCTGCCATGAGGTTAAGTAACAGCTTAATTCACCTTAATGGCTGCCTCTTCCAAGAAGTTTTCTTGACCTTTCCTTCGGGGTTTGGTATCATCCTTTGTTTTCTTATTTTCTCCCCATTCCTCCACCCATTAGACTAAAACTTCTTGGCAAATGGTAGTAAATGAATGCATAATGAATGAAAGAGAATCAACTCTCCTTATTTCTATTATTTTTTGGGGGGTGAAGACGGAGTTGAGTCATTGGCTAATACCATCATCCTAAGAAATCAAGTCATCATTTTTACTGGAAATTAAAAAGATCTTCCCCTCCCCATTCTGGCTGAATGCTCTGGTGGAGAAAAACTGATTAATTAACTGAATTAATTTTAATTCATTAGAATATTAAGATTAATCTTGAAGGAATGGTTAGTTCTTTTCATTTTCTAAGCAAAAGAAACCTGTAATTGGCTTTAAATGATAAGTTCCTTCCTGCTTGTTCAATCAATTCCCTCCTTTCCTACCCTATCTTGGTTCCACCTGATCATGGTTTATAGCTGGGTGTCACCTATGCCTGCCAAAAACACAGAGGCAGCCTGGAACAATGGAATAAAAGATTACTCCATGCAGAATCATAAAATCTGGGTTTGAGTTCATTATTTCTTAGTGTGGCGACTTTGGGCAACAGACTGAATCTTTTGGGCTTCATTCTCCTTTTTTGTGACTTGGGATGATGCCCATCTCACAGAGTGATAAGTAAGGCTCAAATAAGATTATATGTGCTGCGAAAGCACTCTGCAAACAATTAAATGCCAAATAAACATATCATTACTCTAAACTCAAAGCATAGTATTATTTACAACCAGCTGTCCAATCTAACTTTTTTCTAGAGGTAATATACTCAGCAAAAAAAGGACTAATTTGAATTTTATCTCTTCTGCCAAATGTTTACGATAGAAACCAGAAAAATGCCTGAAGAAAGGAGGAAGATCAGTGCATCCAGCAGCCCAGATATAATCCACAACAGATCCATGACTCTGTCTACCTGGGAATTCAGGAAGTGACATCTCTGCCCTATAGAACTGCCTCTGGCCTCAGACATTTCTCTCTCTGGCCAGACAGTCACCTCTAGGAGGAGAATTGTAGGCAACAATGGGAATTCAGAGCACATCAAATGTCTCTACAGTGTCTCATATTCTGAAAATGCCTTTGCAATCAAATCTACATATTATGCCTCAAGGACCTAGAGGAGTATGTTAATATTATCCTTGGACCAGAAAAGGAAGACAGCTAGCAATTAAGTGATTTGCCTCAGGTCATAGAGGGGATTAATGCTGCCATTAACATTCACAAAGCCTTCTCTCTGTGACAAGGAGAACTCCTTTATTCCCCTAGTTCTGGGTTTTCTGTATTATGACCAGACTTACCAGTCTTCAAGGCAGATGACCTTTAGGTACTGTTGAGGGTCTAAGGGGGCAAGTATACACTTCTTGCTGACTTAGACATTCCCACATGTCAAAAGAGGTAGGCACAATTTTCACTGTAAAAAATGACATAGAGAAAGAAGTTGATCTGTAGTTAGGCAGGACATACAAAGAAGAAATAAGAGGGCAAATTTGTGTTTTGTCTTAAGAGTTTGATGTTCTTTTTAGTAGACTAGTGATTCTCAAACAGTTGCTTTCTTAAGGATGGGAGTTAACTGTATTAAAAACAATCTGTATATAAATAAAGCAGTTGTATGGGGTTATTACCACTATTTACTATTATCTTGACTACTGGTTCCCATTTTTCTATTCGAAAGTGTATGGTTAATAAAGTAAGCAAACTTGAAATTTTAAAGTATGGAAGTAAGTATGAGCTCCCACAGGTGGGACAGGATGCATGGCCAGAATGAATTGGTAGAAAGATATATGTCTGGGCTTCCCTGGTGGCGCAGTGGTTGAGAGTCCGCCTACCGATGCAGGGGACACGGGTTCGTGCCCCGGTCCGGGAGGATCCCACATGCCGTGGAGCGGCTGGGCCCGTGAGCCATGGCCGCTGAGCCTGCGCGTCCGGAGCCTGTGCTCCGCAACGGGAGAGGCCACAACAGTGAGAGGCCCGTGTACCACAAAAAAAAAAAAAAAAGAAAGAAAGATGTATGTCTTAGGCATTAATCTCTTTCCCAGTTATTTCTAGTTCTTCTTTTAGACAGGTGGTAGGAGGGTACTGCCCCATTCCCTTTTAAGACAGGAATGATATAGGGCTTACCCTGGCCATTGAAATATGAGCAGAAATGACAGATGTTGCTTCGAAGTGAAAGCTTTAAGAGCTAGTGTGAGATGTGTCACTGATCATTCTCTTTCTCCCATAGTGGCTGTTGTTTGACTATGTTCCAGGAGTACCTTGTCTGTTTGCCTCATACTAAACTGAGGCCAAAGGGAACAAAGGAGCACCAACCCATGCTGAGTATGTAGCTTGACAGAGAAAAAAGTTTATTTTAAACCACTTAGCTTTGTGGGTTGTTTGTAACCAAAGCATAATATATACTGTCTTAACTGATACAGTTCACCTTGTTCAAAAGGAACAGATACACTAAAGGGAATAAGAGATTAGCAAGGCATACGAAAAGGTACACATTGAATGGATGTCCACACACCTAAAGGGAAAAGTAGAATGCACAGTCTCTGAGGGAAGACAAATGGAGGAGTAAAGAGATGATCTTATCTGGATGTATCAGCCAAATGCCTTCCTAACACAGATGGTAAAACTGGCATGGTGGTCAGACCACCACTGGGAGACTTTACCATTTCATATGTGTCAAAAATTCTGTTCTGCAGGGAGCCCAAAAATAAACTCATGGACCTATGGTCAATTAATCTATGACAAAGGAGGCAAGCATATACAATGGAGAAAAGACAGTCTCTTCAACAAGTGGTGCTGGGAAAGATGGACAGCCATATGTAAAACAGTGAAATTAGAACATTCCCTCAGACGATATACAGTAACAGACGCAAAATGGTTTAAAGACCTAAATATAAGACACGAAACTAACAATCTAGAAGAGAACATAGGCGAAACACTCTTTGACATAAATCATAGCAATATTTTCTTGGATCAGCTTTCCAAGGCAAAAGAAATAAAAGGAAAAATAAACAAATGGGACCTAATTAAACTTAAAAGCTTTTGCACAGCAAAGGAAACCATCACAAAACAAAAAGACAAGCTACAGAGTGGAGAAAGTATTTGCAAATGATACAACCAACAAGGGGTTAATATCCAAAATATACTAATGGCTCATACAACTCAATAGCATAAAAACAAACAACCCAATCAGAAAATAGACAGACTTGAATAGATATTTTTTCAAAGAAGACATACGCATGGCTATCAGGCACATGAAAAGATGCTCAACATCACTGATTATTAGAGAAAGCAAATCAAAACCTGAATGAGGTATCTTATCACCTCACACCTGTCAGAATGGCTATCATCAAAAAGTCTACAAATGGGCTTCCCTGGTGGCGCAGTGGTTGACAGTCCGCCTGCCGATGCAGGGGACATGGGTTCGTGCCCTGGTCCGGGAAGATACCACATGCCGCGGAGCAGCTGGGCCCGTGAGCCATGGCCGCTGGGCCTGCGCGTCCGGAGCCTGTGCTCCGCAACGGGAGAGGCCACAACAGTGAGAGGCCCACGTACCGCAAAAAAAAAAAAGTCTACAAATAACACATGTTGGAGAGGATGTGGAGAAAAGGGAACCCTTCTGCACTGTTGATGGGAATGTAAATTGGTGCAGCCACTGCGGAAAACAGTATGGAGTTTCCTTTAAAAACTAAAAATAGAGCTACCATATGATCTAGCAATTCCACTCCTGGGAATATATCCAGAAAAAACAAAAACATTAATTCAAAAAGGTTCATGCATCCCAGTGTTTATTAGAGCACTATTTACAATAGCCCAGACATGAAAGCAACCTAAGTGCCCATCAACAGGTAATTGGATTAAGACGATGTAGTGTATATACATACAATGGGATATTACTCAGCCATAAAACATAATGAAATATTGCCATTTGCATCAATGTGGATCGACCTAGAGAATATTATGCTTAGTAAAATAAAGTCAGACAAAGAAAGACAAATACTGTATGGTATCACTCATATGTGGAGTCTAAAAAATAATACAAGTGAATTATATAAAACAGACTCACAGACATAGAAAAGAAACCTATGGTTACCAAAAGGGAGAGGGATGGAGGGTGGGCAGGGAGGGACAAATTAGAGGTATGGGATTAACAGATACAAACTACTATACATAAAATAGATATGTAACAAGGATTTACTGTACAATATGGGGATTATACCCAATATCTTGTAATAACCTATAATGGAATATAATCTGCAAAAAAACTGAATCACTATGTTGTATACCTGAAACTAACACAACATTGTAAATCAACTATACTTCAAAAAAAAATTTGTTCTGATAAAATGGCAGAATCTGACAAATTCTTGACTTATGCAGAAAATAAAACGACCTTTCAAAAGCAACATTCTGGTTCTTCAAAAGCTGAGGAGGCTGTGAGAAGAAATGTAAATTAGAATTAAATTGGCTCAGTAAGGAAGAATTGCTTAAGGTTAAGGAAGTATCGAAAAACATGGGAAAACAAAGAACAACGAAAATAGGAAACACTGGACATAGAAATATACTCCAGCTTCTAGAGAAGTGAATACAAAAGATTTAGAGAAAAGATATTTATGATAACAAAATCATAAAATTTAAGAGGAATTGGAAATCTGGCATAATCTACTATATTATATTCCAGCAAAGTCACAATTAATCCTGAGTAGGAACCCTCAGTCCTTGCAGGATATTATACTACTCCATTAATTTATTCAACAAATGTTTATTGAGCAACTACTAGGAGAGAGGAATTGTGCTAAAATGTTGAGGGTCCGAAGAGACTATAGTTCCTGCCCTGAAGGAGCTTACAGTATAGTGAAACAAACAGATAATAAACAAGCCCTCAGCTAGCACTTATTACATACTGAGTATTTGCTAGTGATTATGACAGGGACTTTGCATAATTGTTTCCCTAATTTTTACAAGCCTGCTGCATAGGGGTTACTGTCCTTTTAAACAGGAGACACCGAAGCTCAGGGAGATACAGTAATTTGGCTGTACATTTATATAAACAATGATTGGCTAAAATGGGACTTGAAATCAACTTTCTGTGATTTCAATATCTGTACACTTTCAACCATACCTTGATGCCTTTCATATCTAACTCTAAGATTACGTGATACCGTTTTTTATATTTTTGAAATGTGAATTTTAGTGTGTGTGTGTGTGTGTGTGTGTGTGTGTGTGCTCTAAATAGACAATGGATTCATTCCACAGGGAAAAAACATTTTTGTGTGATTACATTTTAGTCTTTTTTTTTTTTTTTCAGTTTGACTGGAAGATGATTTTAGAAACTGATGAAACATTAATGATTTATAAGCCATATTTTAAGAATCTTTCTAGTAAGTCACAGGCAAAATACTAAGTTGCTTTTCAGGAAAGTCTAGAAATCAAATTTAACAAAGGAAAAGGAATACTCTTAGGTAAAATAATAAAATCTTCTCTACAAAGATAAGCAATGATCAAGCTGGTTTTATATATTTATAGCTGAGAGTAGAAACTTTCTCCTTTTAGGAACATTTAGTTCTTTTTCTTCAGGGCTTGAATTCCAAGAATTAAACAGGGAAGTTTCTCACATTTTTTTTTTCAAAAGTCCCAGTAATGTCACCTGATTGGAGGAAAATTTGGCATCTGAGATTATAGCCCACCACTTAATACAAGCCAAACAGCTAAATTGATTTTAGCATTCGGAAGAAAAATTGCACCTTTGGTGCTGAATTGCTTCCCTCTGAGTGTTGAGCCAAATATTAATGTAGATTTGAAAGGAAACAAAAAGTGTTCAAACTCTAATATACCTCAGGCTTATAAATCGGAATTCAGTCACCTTACATTAAGTTGGATTTCTTGAAGCAAAACTACTCTTATTATTTTTGTATTATTGCTCTGACCCACAGTGTATGTATCACATAATAATGTTCTAAGTCTTTTAGCTACAACAGAAGTGGAAAGCTCGGTGCCAGAGGCTTCTGTGGTAACGCTCACTCCAGTGAACACTGACACACGCCAGAGGAGCAGTCCCTTTCTAAGGACTTAAAAAGACATGAGACATTCCGCTCAGATGTCTTTCTGTAACCTGTGCATCAAGGAACAATTTACTGTTAATTCTTTTATATTTTTGTTGCCTTATTTTTATTTAAACAGTAATACATGTTCATTACAGAAAAACTGAGTTCCAGGAAAGCAAAAAACAAAAAAAAAATTGTAATCCAATTATGAAACAAAAACCATTGGTAGCATCTTGGCTTATATCTTTCTAAACTGTTTTCTTTGTAAATAAACTAAATTTTCTTTCTATAAAAAATGCAATACTAGTTACTAATTACCTTATTTTTTTCACTTAATAACATGCTAAAATGTTAAAGAATATTTA